GGTATTTTGTTACAGTGGCCCTAGCAAATTAATACAATGATTTTGCAATTGGGAGATTATCCTAGATTATCCAAGTGGGCCCAACATAAAAACTCAACATCAGGGCCTCATAGAAAGCCCAAAAAAACCAATGAAGTTTTTTTTTTTATTTCAAGACTTTTTTTTTTTTTTTTTTAATGGTGCTGGGGATCGAACCCAGGGCCTTATGCATGAGAGGCAAGCACTCTACCAACTGAGCTGGTGATGAGAGGAGAGGTGATGAGAGGAGAGGCCAGGTTGATGAGGTTGCTGGCCTTGAGATTGGAGGGGCCACCACTGAGGGATGTACACAGCTCCCAGAGCCTGGAAACAGTGAGTGGCAGGTCTGCCTGGTGCTCAGATGCAAAGCAGCCTGGATTGCACTTTGCTTAAAATCCTATTAGATCCACTTTGGACTTCCAACCTCCAAAACCGTTAGATGGGAAATTTATGTGGTTTTAAGCTACAAATTTATGTTGCACATTTTTTATAGCCACACTGGGAAGCTAACAGAGTGTCCACTAGGTATTTCGATGTTTGGGATTGTTTGGGAAGCCCCCATCACACAGAAAAGAACCGGAAGCCAATGTCAGAGAAGAAATCATTCAGAGAAGAAATCATTCAGAGAAGAAATCATTCAGAGAAGTGCTTAGAATAAGGCAGAGATGGGGACCTAGGGAAGAAATGTCAGGAAGATCCTCTTGCCAGGAAACAGCTAGGCTGTTTCTTTGAGGACTGGGTTTCAGTACAAAAGTGTAACTTGGCAGGGGTAGTGTGAAGAGCCACTGAACCCCCGCCCCCCGAGAATATTCTTCAAATGTGGCCCCTCTGAAGTTGAAGGCTATGATGGACAGGTTCTAGAGGAGGCTGTGGAAAGCATAACCAAGAAGTATAATAGTGAATACAACCAGAGGGGTGCTTTGGTTTTTATGGGCAGCACCCCCACTAACCAACAGGGGGCCCCATTTCCTCTTGTCCTGGGGTTCTCCTATCTAGCTCTGATGTGGAAACCCAGCATGGATCTATTCCAGAAGACCAGAGAGACAGGTTGGGTGGGGCCAGACTGACTTGGGTGCCAATCTCTGAGCATCCCTGCTTTCCTCTGTCCCTGTCTGTATCATAACAAACGACCTGCTTGTCTCTCTCCTCTGGGGACTAGCCTGATTGCTTTCTGAGGTCAGAGGTCACATCTCCATCACTGCATCCCCAGCTCTGATGTCTGGTGTGTGGCAGGTGCTCGGGAGATTGCAATGTCAGGCCAATGGCTACCCTCTTCCAGAGGGATGCATCCAGAGCCCATCTGAGGACAAGGGGAGGACCCAGGGACCTGGGGAATGATCTACACAGCTGCTGCCATGGCAGAATCATGCTTCCCTTCTCCTTCAGGTCTCCTAGGTGGCCCCACAGGAGACAGACAGATGATTCATGTTGACAGTTTTTCCTTTATTGAGGGTGAGCCCAACTTACTCTATGTGATTATTTGAGGGACTTTTAACAACTATTCCCTTTCCTCCTCTTTGTGGTCACCCTGGAGATTTTTGCCAGGGAACCCTGCAGGGTAGTGGGAGATGGTCTTATTCTTGGGGTGACCTTTAGTGAACCTTCCTTCTCCTTGGGGTAGGAGACCTGGACTGGGAGGTGGCCTGGAATTCTTTCTACCTATACCTGCTGGCCACGGGGGAAGTGAGCATGGTCCCTCAGGCACTGAGGTTCCCCACCCTGGAGACTGCTTGAGCTGACTGCACAATGCCAGGTTCTGGCTGGGCTGGTGGAGACTAGACCTGCGAGTGAGTCTGTATAGGAGGCAGCCTCAGCCAGGGGCTGGCCATTCTTCCAGGTGCTGAGAACATAGGTTTGGAGCTCTGGAGAGAAGGATGAAGGCAGGACCCAGATGGGTAATTTTCTGCTTTGGCTTGTGTTGGAGTCTTCTCTCTGGGACCCGGGGCATTGACCGGCTGTCCCTGGAGCAGCTGCCTCCCCGCCTCCTGGACCACTGATCATTCTGGAAGATTCTCCATGTCACTTTCTTGGTTCCAATGCTGGGCTCATGGGGATGAAAAGAGTTAGGGGCTGGTCTTTCTGTTCCATTAGCATCTCAGAGTAGGGCCATCAGATCCTAAGAGGTGCTCAGGGAACTGTGTATGTCCCTTTTCTTCCAGGAGTCATTCTATGGGAAAGAACATATAGCAATGTGGGAGAGGAGAGAAGATTTCATGGACATATTGTTTGAGTTCCTGATGAAACAGAATGAGAACACAGCAGACACCATTAAATAGAATATAATTCAACATGACATGACATTGATTCCTTTAGGCTTCCGATTAGATCGAAGTCTCCAAAACAGAACAGCTATAGGGAGGAGGGGCCAATAACACAAATCAGTGAGCTGAAAACACAGATGCTGGTCCTGTCCTTCCATCCACAGGCATGAAAACGGTCACTGCAAGGGAAACAGGACGTATGTGCTGCCTACGCTCACACAGGTCCATCCAACACCTCAGGCATCCATCAGGGGCAATGATCTTTGACAAAAGCCTCTAAGAGGTCCTGTCTCAGGGTGTCCCTAGCATATTCCCTGGCTCACACTCACATGGGGGAATCCTACTGGATGCTCAGGATTTTTCTTCATAGCCTTTTCTCATTTTTCTCTGCTAAACATTTAGCGTGAGGAGCAGGAAATGGGGGCAGATACTGCTGAAGTCATGGTGGTACCCAAACTTCCTTCCACTTAGACATGCAGGATAGGAACATCCGCAAAGGTCCTCCTCCCACAGCTACGCCCAGAGTCCAAGCTCTCGGGCTGATGAAAGGAGGCGTGCAGAGTGCAGATTTCAGGTGCACCAGCTGGGAGCCCATCCTGAGTACTCCCACTGAGGCGAGCTTTGGGAATGCAGGAGCAATATTACAGGCTGGTCTTAGATCTGTGTTGATATCAGAAGAAAGGGAAATGGTCTGCAAGTCCTGTCACTTGAGGGAATAGAAATTCAATTAGTGACATAGCACTTGCAACAACTCCAACATTAGTCCTGACCCACCTGTGGGCAGGGGATTTGTGAGTTGGAATGAATACTTGGCCATGCTGACATGGGTCAGGACATGACTATCCTAGGTGAGCCTGAAAGGCTACGGGCTCCCTGGACTCTCAGGTAGGGAGGTTGAGGGTATCCATTGCCTCCATGGAATTTCCCACAATGCAGCAGGAACAGGATGGATTGGGACTCTGCATATGGAACCACTGTGAAGGATGGAGACACCTGGAGGCTGATTGGAGAGAGGTTGCCATGGAGATTCGAGAAGCTGGAAGGCTGAGGAGTTAAGGGAGTGATTCTAGTGTAGCTGTCCTCCCACCTCAGCCCTCTGGGTCTCTGGCCTGGCCTAGTGCAGCGGCCTCACAGGTGCTTCTCCTAGTCTTCCATCTAAGGGCCTCTTGGTTGCTACAGGAAGTTTCAGGAGCACTTATCTTGTGGGCACCCTCTGCTCGGTGGCCCTCTGGAGACCTACTTCCAGCCCCAATAGACTCCAGGAGGACAGCAATGTGCCCCCAGGAGAAGATGCACCTAAGGCACTTGGGAAAGCAGGTGGGAGCAGGCTGAGAGACGGGGTGAAACAGAACATCTGGGAGTTTAGGGAAGTGGCATGCAGAATCCTAATTTTATCACGCTCCCTTCCCCCGCCCCAAGTTTCTGTACATGTAAGGCGGTTAGTTCCTGCTTCCTCAAATACTTTTTCTTTCCCCTTTTGCTAACTTTTTTTTTTTTTTTCTTGTTCCCTTCGGTTCTCATCTTGGATGACCTTGCCTCCAGGAAATCTCTCTGCCCTCTCCTCAGTTTAGGTTAAACACCTCTCATGTTCCCACAACTACCCCCCAAGAACCCGGCATAGGATGTTCTAAGTGCGAGTTGGCTTGACTGCGTCTCTCACTTTGGGAAGCAGGATGGAAGCAGGGACCGTGCCTAGCTTGCTCACAACCCAGGGTTTGGCCCAGATCAGGGAGACTTGTTAAATATTTTCTTGTTTGGTGGGCTGGGACAGGGATAAGAGAAGGTAGGGTTTTCTAGAGTGAATTCCCTCTTTGGAACTCTACCGACAATTTCAGATGTGGCAAAGGATTGATTCCATTTTCATTTCGAGAAAGATGAAGAGGAATATCATCTTACAGAATCCCTCTGCAAGTTTCCATCTTGCTGTTCTGGAAATCGGGTAGAGGAGATGGGGTTGGGGAGGGAAGGGAAAGAGGAAGTTGGGACATCATGCATTTGTCCTTGGCTAATTGTCAGGGTGAAAGCAGAGAGTGAGAAGGGAGTTGGTAAATCAAGGGGAACTTTGACAGTCCTAGCCTAGCCCCTTGTCTGCAGTGTAAATTCTCTATTATCGAGTATGAAATGTCCTCAGCTGGCTCACTCAGAGCCATGTCCAGAGGGATGTGCCTTCCTGGACAGTGTATTTCCCCAACCCCCCTCCAGGGTTCAGTCTGTGGAATGTTTGCTACTTGTGACTTGTTTGGTCTCCTGAAACACAAGTTAGTGTCTTGACTGCCAAAGGAAGTTGGAGCTCTTAAGCCCAGCGGGCCAGAATTCAGCCTTCCCTCCTCCTCCGTAAAGGACTTCTTTTGGTCAGTTTTGGTTCCAGAAAGATGCAAATGTGGAATCCAGCTCAGGCACTCAGATATGTAAACGTGAGTTTCTCCTTGGGGTGTAGCCCACCCCCAGGGAGTTTCCCAGCATGCACTGCCCTTGGCAGAGAAAGTCCAATGATGTCCGGATGTGAGAGAAGGGCAAGAGAGCAAAGAAAGGATCTGAAAGAAGCATCAGCAACAGTGGAGACTCAGCCAGCAGCGCTTCCAGGCTGCACATGGGTGGAGCCCTGAGCTCTCTTTCCCAGGGGGCACTAAGAACAGGGTTTGCCTCCATCTCTGGCATCCCAAGGAGGAAATGGGGATGTGAAAGTAGTGATCACGGGATCTCCTCTTGGTCAAGCCACCATCAGCGATTCAGGAGGAAGAACTTGAGGCTTTGGAAGAAACTCGACTTCTGTCTCTGCTTCTGTTTCTTTTTGATGATGGGGACCCACACCAGCCCACACACCAGCGTCATGAGTCCCAAGGACAGGAAGGCGGGCCCTATCATCTTGAGGACCACCTTGGTCTTATCATCCACGTTCAAGAGGTAGGCCAAGCAGGTGATGGCCACCCCAAAGAGCAGGGTGGCGCTGCCCACCGACATGATGATGATGGGCTTGTGGTAGATTTCCCAGTTACTCCTGGGAGTGGTGGTCCACACAGACTCACTTCGGGAGCTGATGCACAGGGAGCTGGCCGTCTGGCTGGGCAGCAGATCCTTGGATTCTGGAGACTTCTCGTCTACCTCCAGGGCCTTCGGGAGAGTCTCCATCGTCATGGCCGCTCAGGACTGGCACCTAGTAATGGCAAGTTAGAGACAAGAATGAGGTCAAAGGAATACTTGTCAAATGACAAATGACCTTTCTCTACCCAGCATCCCTCTCCAACCTGTCTCTCAATGGAGAGTATTGCAGGTCTTTGCAGAAACCAAAAGGAAAACCAGATGAAATCCATGTTAATAAGCAATGCCCATGCTAGTATTTTTTTTTTTTTTTTGGTGAGAGATAAATATTATGTCATTCAAATCACCTGGTTTTAATATTTAACCAGGAAACAATGGTGCCATTTTACAACGTCAAATAAGAGCTGCAGTTTATTGAGTGGTATCTTATTTTCAACCCAACCACTTTCCAGTTGTGTGATCTAGAGTCACTTAACCTTCTCTATCACCTTGGTTTTCTCATCTCTAAAATGAGGGTAATACCACTACTTCTCTCCCAGGGCTTTCGAAAGGGGTTAAGGAGTTAGGACCTGTAATGCTTTGGATTGATGCTTAGCGCGTTGTAAGTACTCCATAAATGGTATCCTTTGCCAATTCAAAGAGTGATCCTCTATGTGTAAATATGTGTATGCGTGTGGCTGTGCCTAGCACTTCACCTAAACTCTTCCTTCCTTAACTGATGAGGTTTCAATCAGAATTGTGCATTAAGCTGTAGCCCTCTTTTACCTATCAAAAGCTCAGGCCCAAGGAGGTGTAGTGATTTGTTTAAGAGCCCAGGATCAGGAAGGGCTAGAGCTCAGATTTTTCCCTTGTTCTTGAAAATGCCAGGGTATGCACAGACTGGGGAGCATTTTTCAGTGCACCCTGGGATTCCATGGACCTTGTCAGCCCAGGACGGTGATGTTTGGGGTTCAGAGTGTGATCTTCCAATATCTAAATGCCACCCTTCCCCACCTTCTGGGTTGGTGACATCAAAGCAGATTTCCACCTTCCCTTTTGCTTCAGTTAGAATCTGATCTGAATGTGGCTCTCAAAGCTTCATGGGTTGGAACTGAATTCCCACTATGAGGCATTAAGAGGGTGGAAACTTAGGCCAGCCATGATGTTTAGAAGTGGGACCACGGAGATCATTAGGATTAGATAAGATCACTGGGGGAGGGGGACCGTGTTATTGAATCCTCATGGCTTTGTAGAAGAGGGAGAGGGATCAGAAGACATATGAGCACACTGTCTCCCACCATGTGATGCCCCACACTACTTCGGGACTCTGTCAGCAAGAAGGCCATTGCCAGATTCAATCCTTGAACCTTCTGAACTGAGGGAAATAAACCAATTTTCTCTTTAAAGTAGCCTGCCTCAGGAATTTCATTATAATAACAGAAATTGGACAAATACACTGTTTTTAGACCTGTAAAATTATGGAGTCCAGCAAGCTATCCTGCCTTTTGCAGCTTCTCACTAGAGTCAACCGCATTCCTCTCTCTGGGGTTCTTATCTCCCGTTCCCCACTCAGGGGATGTCACGGATATCTGTGTGGATTAAACACCAGACACCTGCCAGAAGCTTCACCAGAGTGGTGTTTTATCAAATTCCATTAATATGAGATTAATGTCTTTCATTAAATGTGGGTTCGAGTGCAAATGCCTATATATTTACAGGTGATTAAAGTATGCATGACCAAGTTAGATACTTAATGGCAGACAGGTTTTGTTTGGAAGGAAGGGGAGGCGGGGAGGGTCCAGATACCCTGCTTGGAGGTTTTCACCAAGTCACTACCTTGTTTCATATTTCAGCTGTCTCCGGTGTGTCTAGAACCTGCATATCCTTGACTGAACAAGTAAGCAAGTAAATACTTTCTCCCCCACCAATCCTCTTTCTAACCTGGCTACTTAAGGCAAATTCAGGACCTGCTCCACCTATGCAAACCAAGTCTCTCTAGCAGAAGCCCATTGTCTCCCCTGAGATATGCTCAGGCCCCTCTTAATTCAGCATTTGCTAACATCCCTATTCAGGAGTGGGATTTGGGAGATTCCCCCCCAACCTTCTCACACCACTCTCACCCCCTGCCACCAAAATGTTTTCTTGAGAATGGAGGCTGTTCCTCAAGATCACAATGAATCCCACCCCAACTCCATCACAAATAAAGTGCCAGCTAAATGGCTAGAGCCAAACCCAAATATGGAGTGGGGACTTGCCTTTTGGTAACTGTTACCAACCCCAGAGCCAAAGAGAGCTTGTGGTAAAGGAGATGATGTCTGGAGCCCTGACACTCTAGAACCTGCTCTTTCCTCTTGCCTAAGGCATTTCATCTTTGTTGAATGTTTTTCACTTTCAGCACCTTCTTCAATTTAATCCCTTCAACCATTTGGGGGATTTCCCTCCTCCACAGCTCAGGCCTGACCAGTGGATTATTTCCCCACCATCCCCAAAGCAGAATGCACCCACTTTCTAGAATAAGCATTTCTACAGGCCTCACCGCTGATGGGGGTGGGGGGGTGGGGGGGGGGTGGGGGGAATAGAAATTGTAAAATTGCCAGTTCACATTCAAATACACTCGTGGGGAGGGAGCCTATTTGGATCTCTGCTACCAAAAGCTTTGAAAAAAAGTCACAATGTGCTTTTGTAACCACAGGCACACAGATGTTCGCTTCCTTTCGGATCCTGTGCCATATTTGCATAAGCTAAATTGTCATTTAAAAGGCGATCTTCTGAGGCTGGGGTTGTGGTTCAGTGGCAGAGCGCTAGCCTCACAAGCATGTGCATGGCACTGGGCTTGATACTCGGCACCACATAAAAATAAGTAAATAAAGGTTAAAACAAAAAAGAATGCTTAAAAAAATAAGAAATAAAATAAAAGGTGATTTTTCTCTCCTGTGGGGTGGAGTTGAGAGAAGAGAGCATAAAGTGTGTCAGGAGATCTTGTGTTGCTTATTGCGACCCAGAGTCATATGAGGATGCCTGCTCATCTTTAGTAGGACCTTTTCCCCACTGCATAGTGATTTCTAGCATTTCGCCATGAAGGCTCAGGACATGTTATTGCCGCGTTCCTACGTTGGAGAGTCTGTGATGGAGCAGTTGGAATGCAGAGGTTCTCAGCTGTGCCTGGGAAGACAGCTGGGCTGGGCCGGGAAGGGCTTGCTCCTTGTACATAGGAAATGTACAACGAGGGGTAGCACTGCCAGGCCGGAGGGAGTCCTGGATTCTGAGAGAGGGGGAAGCAGGACTCACTAGGCCTTGCTGGAAGCACCTATCATATTTTTGGCCGGACAAAGCCAGGCTTAGTCTTATTTCACAAGGGCAGAGGCACAGGCCTGGGGAAATGTAGGAGTGTGGCTGGCCCTCACTTCCCTCCATCCCCTGGCCCAACTTCATCGATTGCTGTGTCAGGATTTCAGGCCGAGTTCTTTGGACTCCAATGAAGCTCTTTGCACTGCATCACAGTTGGTCTAGATGAGCCCTGAGCATGCTTCCAATACAAGAATCTTGACTTTTTCACATTCTGTCCTAAAGTGACCTTTCTCTGAGCATGGGAGGACTTCCATTCGCAATTCTCTAACATTGATCCACAGCACAGTCTGAGGAATAAAAACACCATTGTAAACTTTTCATGTTACATTTATTCAACTTAAAGAACTGTCTTTTATTCTCAATTAGGTACTTCCATCTTTTTTTTGGCATTGGAATATTCTTCATCTTATGAAATGCCCCTGAAGGAAGAGGATGATTGGTTTTGATAGTAGCTATACTTGGCAAGGAAAATCGGGCCACTCTGTGGGATCTAGCTGGATGTCTGTCTGTCTGTCTATCATCTATTTATCTAGAATGCAATAGTCCATGAAACCCCAAAGAATGGGGATCATTAAGGAGTTGACTTAATTGGGAGGAAGGATGAATCCTTGGCAGAGTGAACTGGCAGAAGGGATGTGCTTCTAGGTATCACTGAAGTTCGAGAAGCAGTTCTCTTTGGTCAGGCAGGGGCAGGTCATTTTCTCCCCTTCTCGCCCTTCTCCCCTCTCCTCCCTTCCTCTCTCCTCACGTTCTCTCTCTCTCTAACTCTAACCAGGCTGGATGGAGGCAAGGAACCATTGTAAACAGAAGGGATCAGGCAGGGTGAAGCCAGAGATGGAATACTGTGCTGGGGAGAATTCAGCCCATTTTTTCAAGGTTCCAGAAAGTCACTAAACTTACTCATAATGGCTACATGCAGAGGACACCTCTGAGTCTTTGGCACCAGAGGGACCACACTTTGAACCCACTTTTCCACTTACGAGCCATGGGATCTTGGGCAAGTTACCTAGGCCTCCAGAACTATAGTAGCTCCATATATAAAATAGGCATGAGAGGTTATTTACCTTATAGTATTATTGTAACTGGCAAATTGCAAAAAGGTACCACTACATGTTGTAGATATTCAAGAAATAGCCCTGGTTTCTGTTTTAATCATTTTCTTTCTGGTTTCCTGTTTCCTCATCTGTGAAATGAAGGAGTTGGGTTAGGAGACTTCTAAAGATTGACCTGTGAATCAACTTGAATTTGGAGAATTCAGATTCCCATGAAATCACCAATTCAGGAGGCTCTGGGAATTTTACAACATTTTGTTATAGTCTGGATAAGATTCTGGGTTCTTTGTACCCCTCTATAGCGGCTTTTCTCAACCATGGCCCTGTTGGCATTTTGGATCAGATAATTCATGGCCACACGGGGTACTGTAGGTTGTGGAATGCTTAACAACATCCCTGGCCTCTCTCTACTCATCAGATGCCAGTGTCACCCACAAACTCTCCCTCAAAGAATATCTCCAGCCATGGCCAAATGTCCCTGGGGAGCAAAGTCAACTGTGATGAACCTCTGTCCCAGGCCAGCCTTTCCTAGCACTTTCAGGGTAAAGACTGAATTTTCTTACCTTCCATCCCCATTGCACCTGGCATACAGCTGGCAATTAGCAGGTGCTCGGAGAACCTGGTCCTGCTGCTGCAGCTCTGTGGGGGCAGGAGGCATCACCTGGGGAAGTGGTCCACTGAGAAGAACTACCCTTCCACATTTCAGTTAAGATATTG